TCGATGGACACACGGATTCATGACTTTCCATGACCCGTGAGCCGAGGTGCGAAGTGCCGGTTCCCGCGCTCGTTGCGCCTCGCCCGTCTTCGTTGCGTTCGAAAAGCGTCTCCCAAGCGATCTGGATAAAAACCCCAGGGAATTGGGATATTCAAGAGTCACCGTAGATCGCGAATGGGAGTCGAGTTTCTAGTTCTTGGCGTGGAAATATCTCCCTGTCCGACCAGGTCAGATAGTACAACAGTGGTCACACAATACGAAGAATGATGAAGCTACTGTTCAAGGTATATGAGCTGGCAATCGAACGTCTTTATAAATTTTTTTTTTTAGTTGTCGGTTGCCTCCACGAGAGCACTAATATTTTAGTAGTAATTTATAGGGAATTCCCAGGAAATTCCTAAAGTGGAGGTTTAATATCACTTACTTTTATATACACGTACTTACTTACTTTAATATACATGTACTTTCTCGTCTTTCCTGCTCCATCGGCTCAGACCGAATCGGACCGAACTTTCCGCGACGGAACGGGCCTCTACCGGGCGATCCAATCGCTCGCATCCAACGGACGCTCAGGGCTGGGAGTGCTCTAGCGATATCGCAGCGTGCGTCACTCTCCCCACTCTCTCTTGGGTGTTTCGACTGAACGAATGGGGGAGGGGGTTTGCCTGTCTCTTCTTTTCCTTATTGTCATGACTATGTCCATTGGGGTCAATTGGTATCTATTCCCGGCTATTGGTCCCTTCCAACTCCGAACGCCTTTCATTCCTGGCTATTGTATACGTTCGTCTATTTAATCGATTTGAGTTTCGATGTAGTTCGAGATATTACTTGAGAGATATGAGTTGCTTGAGTAACTCATATCATGGACCTGGATACCTGCAGAGTAAATGTACCTATTGTTCGCTTAAACTGATGACAAGAGGAATACTCGTTTCCGGAGGAAATGGCCAGTTTTACACTCTGAGCGAGAAAGGATGGACTATTTTAATTTATTCGGTAGCCAGCAACAGCGAAAACAGAGGCGGAAAATACGAATCATGCAACAACAACAAAAATAATAATAATTCGGACTCGGTAAAGGACAAAAGCCAATTCAAAAGCAGGACTCACAGAATAAAAACGGGAAACCATAACGCGTCGCTAGAAAGGTGATTTGCCAGCAGTTATTAAACTTCAGCCAATAATTTATAACTTCAGGCTCTTCGAGTTTCTTCTCTGCATTTCCTTCGTGATTCCATCCTGGACCAGTCGTAAGATATTGTTACGGAGGGGGAAAGTGGAGACGGACGGCATGAGAGGCCGAAAGAAAGCCAAGGAACGGCCGGGAATTGAACCCGGGCCTCCTGATTGCCGGTCGGGTGTGCTACCACTACACCACCAAAACCGGGACATTCAGTCGATGCCATCCTCATCCGTCACGATATATTGGTCGCAATTCCGAGATGATCAGTTGTTTCAGACTAATTTACGCTCTATCCGGTTCCTCGTGATTTCTTATTCTCTTAGTTATTTTCATTTCCGCTTTCAATCGTCTGTTTCTCGTATTGATTGACTTTATTCGCCGGGCTGACTCATCATCAATAATTGTATCCTTTATATCCTTTCTTGTTAAGTGTGTAAATACGTTACTAAAAGGCAATTTCCTCCGCTCTAACCCACTCTATCGGAAACAAGGGACAGAGACGAGACCAGACGAGAATAGAAATCGATGGACGCAAAAGCCACGGTCAGAAGGCAACGGCTACGCCATCCAGTCCTGCGGTCGAAATTGTCAAGGGAGCGAGCCGATAAGCGGGAAACGTTCTGAAGTGGAATAGGAGGGAAAAGAAGTGACGAATAGAGGCGGGATGAGATTGCGGAGGGCAGATAGGAAACAAGAGTTAGGAGAGGGGACGGGGGGGGGGGGGGAATCGGGAACGTTCGCGAGTTGGAAAGAAGAGATATAGTCCATGTATCGGGAAAAAGCCCACTTTCGGGAAGTACTTGACAGCAAAGGGAAGGCTATGTTTTAATAGCCTCATTTATCGACTAGGTTAAGGGAGAGATTTGCGGGAATTGTAGCATGACGTGTTCAGAAACATGTCTCATTTGCAGGATTGTTGGATTGCTTTTCACCTCCCAGGTACTTCAGGCCAATAATTTTATTTGAAGACAATTAAGTCATTCATTTCCCGATATCCAGGAGAGCACCTGCTGTTATAATAGCTGAGCAACTTGCACTGACGACGAAGAGAGGAGAAAGCCAGTAACTGGTTAATTCATATTTCATCTACACGTCTTTGACATCGCTTCTTTTCTCCAAGGGGAAATCCACAAATTGCCCTTCAGCCTCACTGTGCCAATTAACTTTTCCCCTTTCACCTCTTTGTCGGGAAGCCAAGCCATAGGTTTATTGCCTACATTAATCATTTTAATGTTTAGAGAAACTGCTTTTTCGTTCCCCGATACATGGACTATAATTCGGAGTTACCCAGCACGAACAACCAACCTGAGATACATGCCATCGTCGTAGGCGGCGCTTGAGGAGATGGGTGGGGGGGGGGCGTGGACTATTATACTACAACCCCCTCCAGTTCCATATAGGATGAATTTTCACCCACATTAACTACCCTTCACTTGCTTGGGTGAATGCCGACAGGAAGTTTCTCTCTTTCCCTTCTCCAACTTTCGTCCCAAGAATACTTGTTGAAAACGTGAATTTCATCTTTTCGTTCTCAGCAATAATGTAACTTCCGTCGGAAAATACGCATAATTAAAAAAATAAGATTTTTGCGGGCCGAAGCCTCCCAGAATCCACTCCACAATGCCGCCAATGGCCACCGCCATTGTAAGCGAGCTAGACCAAGAACATTCCACGGATCCGGCCTAGAACATTCTAGAAAAGTGTGAGTTGCCGCACAGTGATACGAGGTGCCGACATCGACTGAAATCCTCATTAATAATCCAATTGATGCGAGAAAATCCCAAGGTTGTTTAAATATGGGGTGAATGCGCTCATAAAGGATAAACATCGGGAAACTGTAGTGCTCGAAACTGTGAAGATTTTTCGTACAGCTTTCTGAGGCGAGATTCAGCAACCGTAGTTGGCATCGATAGCGGCAGCAATGCGCGTGGCTCCAGCAGTGGGTCCCACATCCGCTACCGCCAGTTCGGTTTTTTCAGCCTAGTGTTCGGGTTCTGTTGCAAGTTGGTGTGTATTTCTGTGGACTTAGCAAGTAGGATGGTATATCAGTTGTTACCCAACAACAAGAATCCCAGCCCTTCTCGCATTTATTAGATATTGCTTTTATGGCAAAAGTATTGCCGGGGAAGGATTAGCGTGGACAAAGACGACGACGAAGATTGTAGTCGGAGCTCAGCTTATAATACTTATTATATACAATATGTAATAGCTTAGAAAACTCCAGGATTAGGTCGAATCGTCTGATGGTTGGACTTGAGAATAATTTTCTTGGCGTTGAAAATGCGGTCGAACTTTAGGTCTATAACTTAGCGGCAGGGATAGGCGATAGAGTTAATTGCTATCTGTTCCACTGCTGTGCACCTTAACTCCTCGTGGTTGACTTTAATGCGAGGCAGGTTTTGTTTTGCTGTTTTATTTTCATGGGCTCATATGGTTGAAAAAATGCAAAAAAAAGCAGTGATGTAGGTAAAGCTTACCTCAAAGGAGTCTTTCTGTTTTTCAAATGGAAAAGGCTATAGAATGCTCATGTCGGAGACAGCCTGATACCAAGCCACTGAAGGTTAATGAGAACAGTGGTATAAATATGAAAGAGAAGAAAACTAGGTTGATGCATGCTCCTTTAAAGTTTTGCTCATCCTAAATCTGAAAGTCATCGCAAGTGCCACTTTCACTTCTGTGGCTGGTTTGTATAGGCCTACTTCCAAGTGGAATGCTAGTAAGGCCTACAAGGCCTTAAAAACCTAGATATCAAAACCTTTAGCCTACGAGGACTTTGTGTTAATGCACCCTTTCAATGTGAACCATTGTTAACTATTGACCTATCAACACCTATCAACAAACTAATGTTTCCTCTGGCTTCACATTTGATGTGAACTGGCATTTGGTGGTTGGCTCTAGATATGAAACACCCTATCAGCTTCACACACCCCTATAAGGGTGTGTGAAGTCATTGTGAAAGATTTTTAGTCTATGATTGACCATGTTGGTCAAATTTTCCCCCATTGTGCTCAAACATGAAGAACTGGGCATGTCAGTGAAATGCAATTCCATATATCTCTTCAGACCTCATTGGGGCTTAGGCATACTATTAGATCATGACTGATGATTACTGTTATTGACAATGTAAGCAATTGGGTGTTGTTGGGCCTATTCATTTGAATGTAATGATTGCACTCCCTCTGAGGGTGATCTCAACTGTAATTAGTCATTTTCTTGTAGAGTAGTGCAGAAAATGCATTTTAACTGATTGTCAATGTACATGGTTGTGGCATTGTTGGTGTCAAGCTTTTCATGGTATCAGCAGACTGAGAGTAAAGGTTTTAATTTCATGGGTGTTGTCAGTGATGCTAGGACTTGGGTTTCATTGAGTTTATAGAAATGATGAAATGATGAGAAAAGAAAGGAAGAAAAAAGCCAATGAGAAGACAAACATTCAATTTGGAGTAAGGTAGGGTTATCAGTGCTGGGTTCTAGCCCGTTCTTGTATGATGCTGTAATTCATTGTAGGACAAACTTCAGATGGTGCTGGAATCTTGACAAAGCCTGTTATTATTTTACCTCTCCTAATACTAATATACAAATTCAGAGAGGCCAATATGATGCCTGATGTTACCTGTATAAGTCTGAGCATAGATGGTATCAGCATATATGCAAAGATAAGGCATCAAGTACTCATTGTACACTTGCATCAAAATTGGATGTCAGAAAAGAAAATGTTGAATCACTGATCTGAAATTTACATCAGACCAATGCTGATGTCATTTCATCCCTACTTGTAATATGCAATGGCCTAGACATGGGCTTAATCTCTCTTAGAATGCTACACAATAAAGCAAGAGATCAGTTTGATCCATTGTCTGTTCTGACCCTGAGATATATATATCACAGGTTCCACATTGGTGAGTAAAGCTACTGGACGGTTGGAGCTAACATTTAGTGGAAGTGATCATGGCAGAAAAAGGTGACTCAGAGCCACAAGATATAGAGGTGCCTTATACCCCTGGACCAAACGCAGTGGATATCACACCAGAGAAAGATGGGGGTGTCCTGAAAGAGATTATTAAAGAAGGTTCTGGTGAAAGTCCTCTGAAAGGTGACAAGGTGTCAGTGCATTATGTGGGAACTCTTGCTTCTGATGGCTCCAAGTTTGACTCCAGTCGAGACAGGGGAGATAAATTTGAGTTCACACTTGGGGAAGGTGAGGAGTGGACTTTCTTAGACTTACTTTCTTGTATTCTCTCAGTGCTGTGATGGTCTTCCATCTCAGTTCTTGGGATGTATTGGCATTTGGCATCTAGGTAATTGAGTTTTTCAACCCACAGGCAAGGTAATCAAAGCATGGGATCTTGGGGTTGCAACAATGAAGAAAGGGGAGATTGCCACCCTTGTATGTAAGCCTGAGTATGCCTATGGGGAGTCAGGTAGCCCTCCAAAGATTCCACCAAATGCCACATTAGTGTTTGAAGTGAGTGAGCTCTGGTCTTGTGCCTCTGTTGCTATTCTCAAAATGGCTTTCTGCACTCAATATTTTTGTCCTTAAGGTGGAGCTTTTTGATTGGAAAGCAGAAGACCTAAGTCCAAGCAAGGATGATGGCATTCTTAGGAGAAACTTGGTCAAGGGTGAAGGCTACTCTACTCCAAATGATGGTGCTGCTGTTGAAGGTATGAATGACTACATTGAACAAAGAGTCTGTAGTTTTTTTTAAAGCATCTATTGGTGCTTCTTCAATGGAATCATTGGTTTGTATTCCTTGGACTAGAGGCTTATAGATTTATGTGTGAAGGATAAAAAGAATTTGTTATTTTTTTCTCAGTTCATCTGCTGGGGAAGTATGATGGTCGAGTGTTTGAGGAACGAGATGTCACTTTCACTGTTGGAGAAGGTTGTGAACATGGAATTTTACAAGGAATTGAGATTGCTATAAAAAAGTTCAAGAAGTGTGAGAAATCCAGGGTCACACTGTCCTCCAAGTTTGCATTTGGAGAAAAGGGGCATTCTGAATACAATATCCCTCCAAATGCTGGCCCCATTGAATATGAGGTCACTCTCAAGAGCTTTGAAAAGGTTTGAGAGCTCTTCATCTATATGGAGAGAATTCCATGGGTTAGCAAAATTTCACCTTATATTTTCCTTGCACATGCTCTACCAAAAAGGCAAAGGAACGTTGGCAGTTGAATGATGATGAGAAAGTTCAGGAGTCCAAACTCTTCAAGGAGAAAGGTACAAAGTACTTCAAGGAGGGGAAACTGGACCTTGCTCTTGCCCAGTATAAGAAAGTTACAGAGTACCTGGAGTTTTCCTTCAGTGAGTCCCACCTCATTTCACTCATTTTAATTGATCTTTCCATATCATTGGCTAACCTGAAATCACATTCAAATCCAGGCGAAGTTGGCGAAGATGCCTCGGAAGAACAGAAGGCAAAGAAGAAAGAATGTGAACAGATTTCCCTTGCTGGACATCTTAACCTGGCCCTATGCTACCTTAAGAAAGAAGAGTTTTTACTTGCTCGAGATGAATGTGACAAGGCTCTTAAACTAGATGCCAAAAATGAAAAAGCTCTCTTCCGGAAAGGACAGGTTTGTGAACACCTACATTCCTTATTCCATCCACCATTTCTTATGATTTCATCATTCCTTTAGCATCCCACTATCCATCCGAATTGTATTGCAGGCCTACTATGGAATGAAGGAGCATGATGCAGCCAAGAAGGAATTCCAAGCTGTGTTGGAGATGGACAAAGAGAACAAAGCAGCTGCCCATCAAATTATGCTTTGCAACCAAGCCATCAAAATGCAAAAAGAGAGAGATAAGAAGCTATATGCCAATATGTTTGAACGCATGTCAAAACTGGATTCAAAGGTGAGTCACTGGTTTTTCACATTCATGTCTTTCCTGTCAGAAGTTTGAATCTGCAGTTCAAAAGTTTTGTAAATTTCTCTCATGGTTAAAATATCTCAGCATTCAGGGTCTGAACCCAAAAAATATTAAAATATTGGATTCTTTTGACAAAAAATTTGAATCTAATGGGGTATTGGGCATATTTGTATCAGCTGTATCCACAATTGGGAGTTGATGTCCTAGCACAGAGCTATCCTAATAGCTCAACCTAAACTATGTTATAATGAGCAGAAGTAACCCTAGGAGTAGGTCTGTACCTACTCTTAATTGGACCATGAGGCCTGCTTTGAAGATTATGAATAGGCCTTGCATTTTCAATAATTATATTATTAGGACAGCCCTTAGCCTGTCTTGTATTTGCAAAGTAGAAGGAGATAAAAGTTGTAAAAACTTCTTAAGGCATTTATATTCAATAAGTTAATGGTATACGGCATAGCCTTTTTTAACCAACCATGAAGAATCCTACAATCTTCCTTTATATGAAAAAAGTTAATGTTCCTGGATGTAACTTGAATAACTGCAATCCATAGATGCTGTTACTATCAATTAATTGTCTTGTCTGCTGACCTTTTTTCACCCAGTTTATCTGGACTTCAGAGAATGAGAGCAGCAGTGGCTGCTTAAAAAAAAATTTGGATGTTTCTCATTCCTCTCATGAGAGAAAGGATTTCTTTCTGTTTCACCTACCCTTTTCTTTACTCTCTCTGGGAATGAAAAGGAAAAGAAATAACACACATGCTCTTATTTTCCTCTTTCATGGAGTCATTGGCAAAGAAATCTGTCTGTTTAGATGCCATGACTGTGGTCCTATCTTAAAATGTTTCCTGATCCCATCACTCCTGAGGAGCAGACTAACCTGAAGGGAACTTGTCCCAAAGCTGTCTCTGAGTACCTCTCATACTTTGATGGAAAGAAAAGCAGTCCTGTATTTGTATTAGATCTGTACACATCATAATAAGCAACCCCTTACTGTTACCCAATATCTTGAAAGCCTGAGTGGGTGCTTGGTAATATATGGATATATTCATAAGTTTTGATTGAATGTGCCAAAGCTTCATTTTACTTCCCAGGGCTTCTGAACTTGCTGAGAAACTGGAACTTAGTGCTTTAAAAATTTGTGGAAGAATTTTCAAAGGTAAAAGGCAAGAGTTCACTGTGGGGCCTTTGTCAAAAACTGAGAAGAGCTATAGGCTCCTTAGTCCTATAGTGGGCACTTTTGGCTCCCTCTTTTATCAGCCACCAATTCACTATTGTTGAAGCATTCCACATTCAAACCATAGCTGTTTATGTTTGTGCTTTCCCATACATCTCAACATGGAAAAAGTCAATAATCACACTCCTTGGATTTTTCTGGAGCAGGTGGGAGACAAATCCCACAAGGACAGTGGCCTGGATGTTGGACCATGGAACGGAGAGAAGGAAGGTGCTCAGGAGAGCAGTGTAGCCCAACAGCAACAGGCTGAAGTGGCGACGTGATGATGGAATGTCCTTGCACATAGCTGTTCACATCATCTATCACTCATTGTATCATGTTGTCCCTAGTCACTGGATGATTCCTTTCATTCCACATTTATACCAATTCCTCTCACTGCTTGGATTATGAAAATTTTGTTCTTCTCATTTATGCAAGCAAGGAAATTCAGGTATGATTTCTGGCATGTAGGATCTTCTTTTTGTAATGCAGTAAAATCTTCCAGTGAAATGAATGTTTTTCCACCAAATTATTGAAAAATAAACGGTTATGTCTTTGAACCCCATTTTTTGTTACCATGAAATGGGCTTAAAAAAAGACCAAGACAGTGGATTAAATATCTTTGTTCATTCTGGAAACCTGTGGCTATGACTCAAGATGAAATATAAGGATGTACTTCAAGATCCTGGTCAAGAACTTCAGTAACAGCTGACAAAAGTGATTGGGAAGTACAATGAGTTCCTTATTTTTAAGTCCTCTCTGCTTTCAACTTCTATTCCATTTTGAGAAAGCTGAAAGCAAAGAACTTGCACTAGAGAGCATTGGACAGAAGACTTCACAAGGCTTAATCTCGTGCATCCGCACGGATCGAGTTGCTACGTCTACGGACGCCATTTTCCCAAATAAGTGAATTAGGTAAGATCGACAAAGGACTATTCCGTACGGTAGTATTCTCGTTGCCTATGGCATGGAGGAGAAGCGCAAATGGGATTCGAAGCCTGCATTCGCGCCGGAGAACAGCCTTCGTGCTTGTTCCTATTTCCTTCCATTCAGGAGGTCGTTTGATAAAATTCATGCAATGCTTATCGCACGCATCCGTTGCAAGATGGCCTGAAATACTGTAGGACTGAATCATACAGATTACGAATGGCTTGTTCCGGCTAGCAAATTGTGCCAGCTATCAGACATCGAAATGAATTTCAACCTCCATGAATTATGGAATTTCAACTAATAGTGACACCTTTGAGAGATTAATTTCCACAATGCTTTTAGAATGGGTTTAGAGGAGTACTTCCGGTAATCTATTTCATGCCTATGGAAACCGCAACCATGCTCTAATCACGAATAAATTTATTCAGGCTGATATTCTGCGACGATTCCCGCCGTCCGTTGACATCCTGGCCCCGTTCCGAGACGGAGATAGAATCGATTATATTGAGAAAACGTCTGCACCGAGGAAGAAGTCACAATGGAGGACACATGCTGTTCCTTTCACGTCAATTTAGGGCTTTTACCCGAAAGGACATGAATAAATGAGAGCAGGGGTAAAGGCGATTTTTCCTGTCCATACAGATTATCAGGCGCGCCCTCTTTTTTTTGTGCACTAGACTCGGGCTTTTAAGGAGCGTAAGAGCATCGATTCTCTTCTAAGCAGCAGCACGAAATGCGTCGACTCGTGTCGACTATATTTAAGCATCCAGAGCGCAATGACCGACCCGAACTGTGCGACAGGACTTATCGCGAGCTACTTCATCTGCTTGATCGATTCGCCAGCGCTTGTCTGGCGCTGATTCGCAGGATTTATCTCACATGAAATTCTCAAGCTCCGTCCGCCTTCCTCGCTGGAATTTTCTAGCCAGGAAATTGAAATTGAAGGGAGGGTGGGGTCTGAGGAGATTGATGAGCATCCTGCCGTTCTATCTCTCTTAGATAAGTTTTTTTTTTTAACACCTAGACATCGGATGGGCTTTCCTTTATTTGCTTCAGGAACGCCTCCGGAGAACGTCCCATTGAACACTCGCATCCAAAAATGTATGGGTAAATTGATTTTTCAAAACAAATTGAGTTGTAGATTGACTAAAGAGCCGTTTTAAGCTCTTCTAACATGGAAGAACATCTAACATGGTCTGCACTGCTCCAAAATGGATTTATGGTGTGCCGAATTTTAAACCTAGTTACCTCGAACGAGAAAGTAAGGGATTAAAATGTCGCTTTTTTCAGCCGACTTACAGAGGCTAGGATGAGGTTTCTATGCACCAGTTGCTATTGAGGTGGAACATTAAGACAAACTTCTTCATTCCATACGTCCCATCTTAATATACCTTTCCTAAAAAAAAAAATAAACTTGAGCGGTGGAGTATACGTGGCTGGAAGAGAGGCCCCTACATGGCCTTCTCTGAATTAATGTTCTAGCAAGAAGGGGAATGAGACAAGGTAGTGAGTGGTAAGGGAGCCAAGAGGGGCCAGACAGCCTTGGGGCTGGGGATATGTTCGGGCGAAAGCCTTCTCTCCTTGCTCTCATCGGTGTTTTTATTTATTTATTAAAGGTATGATGCTGCCATTTTTTTTACAGCCTAGGAGCAAGGTAATTTTCATGCCAGAGAACCCATTTAATTCAACTGACCATTTTTTAATTGAGTTTCCTCACAAAAACTTGTAAAAGACGTCTTATCCGAATAGAGTGATACGAGGAAACTTTTAGTGGGGCATATTATGGAAAGGTTTCCTTTTTTAAAACATCACGACTCGATTTTTACATTGCTTTCCATTGACTTTCTTACCTGCCGCATAATGTTACGCACGAGCGGCATATTGCTTTGTACCCCTTTCAAAATGATCCACACAAATCATTATGTTTTGTACTCCTTCCTTCCGCCCAGCGTGTATGTGCCACTCTGAAGGACGCGTCCATCTGACAACCCTTGGAGAGAGGAACGCATGGTTTGTGGATAGTCTTTAGAATGGATGGATATCGAGCGCCCAGATTAACGGATTACAGTCAACTCTCGTTAATCCGGACTCAAGGGGACTGGTGATTTTGTCCGGATTAACGGCTCATCCGGATTATAGAGTACCTGCTCGAGTGTCCATTCATTTTTCTTCTTTTTTTTTCAGGGAAAAGTAAACTTCACCTAATATGTGCAAAGGTCTTCATTGTTTGAATGGGAATAGGAAAATTTGGACTCTGCATGAGTCATGACAGATCGAAAGAACAATCTCAAAGTGTACGCTTCGTATTCGTTTCCGCGAGAGGGACACCAGCTAGGACAGTACCCTGTTCAAGTTCATCGTGACACTTCTATATATCCTATATCCGACACTGTCGATGTTGGAATATTCAAATCACGTGCTACCGCAACTTGTCTTTCAACTAAGTCCTAGTCCATACCAGAAATGTTTATTGCATATGTGGTTAAAGAAGGTTGCAAAATAAGATTTTTGAAAGAAACCTTTCGAAGGAATCTCCCAGAGCATTGAAAATCTTGCATATAAAATTTTGAAGGCGTCCTCACCACGAAAGCTTCCTTTGCAAATAGAGATAGCATAGAAAACTTTCTGGGGTGGATGAGGCTAATAGCTTCAAAACTTTCTATTCCTCCTCCCGTGTGGGATCACGCCGAGAACACTTACTCATAACGGGAGGTAAGAAACTTCTCGTGCCTCCCCAGTTTAAAATTCCAACTGGACCAAATCTGTAAATTCGGACCATTTCCAGCTGGCAAAGAGCTGGAAAACAGTAGGTACCACCTGTTTCTTAGCTGTAATTTTCCAACTGGAATGCAGATGGTTTTAATAGCAGTTTCTGGCTGGAAAATTTCCAGTTGGAATTTTTTAGAGGACCCTACAGCTGGAATGTAGCTAAATTTACAGTTTTAAATCAGCTGTTCCCGTTGATGGACCGCAGACAAAAAATAGTCAAAGAAAAGATTCTCATTCAGTTAGTTATATTGCAATTAGGAAGAACTCTGGAGTTGACTATTTTCCAGCTGTTGCCCAGTTGGAATGGGTCCGAATTTACAGCTGGAGTCCAGCTGGAAATTATAGCTGTTTCCAGCCGGGATTTTAAACTGGGTCTAATGACAAGAACAGGTTAGACTGAGAGAGGATGAGTGACATGACAATGAAAAGAGTTCTCCTCATAACTCGATTCCAGGAAATTGGGGAGATCGAACGTTTTCAACTTTTATTTAAAATCCAAGGGTGAGGGAAAGTGAAGACGTGGGAAAAAGACAGGGAAGTCTATTCTTTTGTATTGTATTGTATCATATGTATTTTGCTGGAAGGTCCGGATTAACGGAGGAGAAAGGCTCAGGGGATAAGAAAACTCTTCCGGATGAAAGGAAAATACGGAATAATGACGTCCGGATTAAAAGGAGAATTTTATTATTGGTTCTATGGGACTTCTGCCAGGAACATTCTTCATGCCCGAATTAAAGGGTGATCCGGATTAACGAGAGTTGATTGTACTTTGAAGAACTCCATGGAAAGACCTGCTAGTAAATGGAAAAGGTGTTTCACACTTGTGAATTCTTATTGATGAATACCAAATAATGATATGCGTCAGAAGTGGTCCTCTTTCGCCTGGGTGCCATAACGACCAATCGCGAAACTGAGGATTACCTTTCTTGGGAGGGTTTGTAACGCAGCCGTTGCTTCAAGGGTCCCAGAGATGGTTCCTATCAGGGTTGCCAGGTGATCTTGCTATTCTGAGCAGCACTGGAGGAGTGCAGGGGGTATGAAACATTATGGAACGCGTACGATTCTTTTTGAGGGAGATGCGTAGTATTTTGCCGCTAATGCCTAGCATTCTACAAGACGAGCGAAACTCACTGAGAAACACTAATTCCTCCTTCATCTGGCCAAGAACTGAGAACATTAAAAAACGCTATAGGGATTTCATGGGTCGTACTATGAATGAAAGTTATGAATGATTTTCTCTGAAGAGTCTGACAAACAAAATGGATAGTTTCTTCAAAAAAGAAAAACCAGGGAAATATGAATAGGGCTGTCAATTACATTAATTTAATCGATCGATTAATCGATTAAAGTATTAATAGCGATTAAACAATTTAGTCGAAATTATTTGAATTTTAATCGACTCCCTAATGTTCCCCTGAATGCCTATTCCCCCTTATAATTGTATAATACAATATTATTTTAATAGATTAATCTATAGATTAAATTGACAACCCTAATTATGAATGATATAAAAAAAACTCATTGGATTGATACTCATCGATTTATCTGCAAGTGACGACCAGTCAAAAGAATGAATCGGAATGGAGTTCGACGATGTCTCGATGACCAGAAGGAAATCGCCGGACAGCCACTACAAGCAGAAGCTCTTGTCCATTCTCAATGACTAACGTATTGCTTACGTTCAACAAATTCTAATGAAATTTTGAGAATAAGTTGGAAACATACTCATGTATGCATAATGAACCTTTCGCAAAAACAGTTCCATAGTTCCGAGCGGAGATATTTTAGTTAAGAGTCGTTGGTCGTTTACCACGAGACGGTCTCGGGGTAAAAGCTAAGGTGGTCAGCGCACAAATTCACACAGGATCTTAAGAATCAAGTCTACAACTTTGTAGGAAGGAGCTAACACCCAAAGGATGAAAAGGAACGGGCAAGAGGAATGCCTTATCCCCAACCCCCCTCCCCTCGAATCCCCTTGGAAAGAAATGGAGGGGGGTTTAAGGGCTGGTTGCATTCTGATCTCAAAGAAAAACGGGATTCTCCTTATGCAAAACAAAGCCAACCCCCTCTACGTGTTTCTAGTTCCCTTCCACTGCACAGCAAGCAGTAGGCACTGTAAGTAATTTCTTTCGTATGCTTCCAAGAGAAGCAACAAGTTCGCTGTTAAAATAACTTAACACAGGTTTGAACATAATGCCTTTTACTCCCACAAATTTCTACAAAGAAAAATGTCACCTAGGTCGATGCTGCTTTCATCCTGTCCTTGTAACAAAAGGACTAACTGGAACAGGATGGACTCGGTCACAGCAGCCCTACTCTGGAAGGAAAGACTTCCTACTACTGGCATTTCACTCGATCCAAAACAGCAATTGTGACGAAGAGGGATTTCAACAGAAAAAAAATTCACTCAATCACACAACTATATGCAACGGAAGTACAGTAGATGCACATACAGCCGAGTTGAGAGAAGTGCGAAGATGTGGTGTGCAGCAGACGACTGATGGTGAGGCGAGGGATGAAGACGATGAGGGACGACAAAAAACCGTAGGAATTTTTTTTCTGTACACGCTTTGAGGGGGCAGCGAAGAGGACTGACCACATCGACCAAGCACACGTGTGTACCGTGACGTCCTTTACGACCGGCATGATATGGGAGAGAAAGAGACACAAATGCCTCCATTACAACAGGTATCGTGAGTATTCAATATGTATGAATTGCCTCCTCGTGGAAAACTACAATCTACACTCACTAGAAGAAGAGCGAATCCAAGCAACAGTATTTTTCATAGTACAATGTATTATAGATGGAGTTTCGACATTTCCCAGTCCTCATAGGGCCCAGTATTAAGCAGGTATTCCATCACACGCCTTGTTCAAAACGGACCATGGAAAAGCCCTAAACTCTCATCTGCAGTACATTGATCAGTGTCAAAATACTGGGACTTTAAACATACTATCACAAATTGCCATTGAGGTCTCAGTACAAACATCTATGGGGAAACTAAAGCAATCATGTTGATTGTTGCTGGCTCACTCTGATTCATATGGAGACTTCATCTGTATGCTTGAGAAACAACCATCATGAAAGCACATCAAAATAACTTTTTGTCATGCAAAAAACTTCCTTAAAATGATTACATTTAAAAATACAGATGCAGCCAAAGCGTTCTTAAAATGTACAGGTGCAGATAATGAGCCAACTGATGTAAAAAACAAAGAACTATTGTATGAAGATACAAAAATTGTTCGCTCTGCCCACAGATACCTGTACTGAAATTTTCCATGGACTTTCATCTTGTCCCAATATTTTTAAACACCCCAACAAGCATAAAGAAACATTTACAAAGTTTGTTGAGAGGAGCAGACAAATGTTCAAGAATAGAAAATTTGAAATTAGAAAAGTGAAAATTCTATTACAGTCATTTTTCTTCAGAAAGCATGGATGAGGCAATTCATTCTCAATGTGATTCCTGTACATTGGGACTATGCATAGGAGAATCATATATTTATCCCATGGTAGCTGAACTTCTGATAACAAAAATAACAGCAAGGAAAAAGAAGCATAGCTCTTCTTGATATTGTCATCTGTAGTGAATTTTGCAATTTCTGCTGCCCCAAGGAATCACATTGAAACACAGGTCAGTTTCACATCAAAGCAAATATGAATCACAAATATGTAAAAATCACAAACAAGTCACTTGTACTCTGAGGATGCTGAGGCCCTCCAACTTATCACATTCAACCTTCCAGCACTTCATGCAGTTATGCTTGAAGCTTGACTAAAAGTCAAAATTTTTTCATGCATACAGATCAGGTAGGCTGCATTGGATGTGAATGAAGTTCATTGTGGAAGGAATTTCGAAGTCATTTTCAATGCTTTGATAAGAGCATTTTTCCAAACGCAATATATTGGGAACGGTCCTTGCTACAATGAAGTGAAAACTGATAAGGGACAGGAGAGTAGCACAAACTCAATAGGCACCAGAAAAGTCCTATGAGTTACAATAGTAATGCTTTACAAGACTCCATTCTTTGCACAATCCTGAACCCTAACTTCCATCCAGTTACAGGTTCTCTGATAGAATTAATTTCTTGAGCATGATCTATGACACATAAGCATCTGCACAGGTCAGGACTTCAAGGAAGAACTATACTATTGTCTGCCAGCAATTTGGTCCATTTCTTAAAATTCATGGTGGGAATACTTTGGATGAGATATGGACACATGCAGCTGAAGCCTTTCTAAGAGACTGTCACTGTTTAAAGAAATATCACTCATAATGTCAGAAATTCTCAGAGAAACTCAGTTATGAAAATGTGCAAACATAAGAGATCTACAGGATGCCCATAAGGTACATCTGAAGATTGGAGGCAGAAATAAATGTTTTACAGTTGTTTAGGAGGCTACCAAAAATGATGATGAATGTCATCAATGACTTCATGAATGGAGTTACCTTATGGACACTCTGCATGATTATCAAAAAAAAGGGTGACAATGCACCGCACAATGTGGAGGGAGGGGAGAAAGACTAGCAGTGACAAAAATCAACAAGCATCAATGAGGTATGAGATGGTACAAGAAAATAGCTTAATAAAAAAAAACAATAAAACCATTTGCACTTTCAGCTGTAGCCTAGAGTAACCTAGTAATGGCATAAATGTGACATGCATCAATGATATATTTATGGGATATTCCATTCGCTACAAGAAACTAGGTCAATTGAGAATCCCAAAGTAGTTCTTTTTTCATAAAAGTGAATCCATGAATATCAGGGATTATAAAACTTACACTTTCTTTTTATTTATCTAAACACTCTCAGCAATTGGATTTTAAAGTGACCTAATTTCTTTTTTGACAACCAGCAGAAAGTCCCAATCCATACGATACATGATATCTTGGATCAATGTGCTTTAAGTTTTGGCCACCCACAGGCAAGTAACAAGATGAGATTCATTCAAGATAAAAAAAAAGGTAAAGAATTATAACAATTTTCCAGCCATAGTCTTGCATGTATGTCATATAATGGATATTACACAGCTATGTCATTACTGTAAGTCATGCAAAGAGGTTCAATCTTCAATTAGCACAATACAGTATTTGCAACAAAATTTATTTGTAAATGTTACCACTTCTGACATACCAAGATGCAGACCACTGACTGTGGTTTCCAATCAAATCTCAACTGGAAACATATTAAATAAAATGAGATTTCTAACTCTAAAGGGTATGTTAAAATATAAAGGGCCCCAACTTTAAATCTCTGTTCTTTCTGCAGCTATTTTCATAAAACTTGCAATATGCACCTACTGGTATGTTTTTTTAATACCCTAATCAAAGTTCATGCTAGTTTATATAACCAGTGCAAGACCATGAGTGATTATTAAAACTAGCAAACTCTCTGCATTGACACCAGTTGATTCATCAGTTACTGATTTGGAAAAAGGCTAATAACACCCATCTGCAACTAAGGGCCAGCCCAAACAAAACATTTTTTTTAAATAGTAGAAATGCTCGAGAGAGCCTCCAAGATATGCAAACAGCACAAATGGCACTTCCTCCATCTGACAACCAGCAAATGACTCCTGCTTATCCTCAAAATCCAATTTATTTTAACCTTTTAACTACCAGAACCCTGATGGTCATATGTTTAACTGCTTCATTTCCTCAAAATACTTTACCTAATTACTATCACATGTCTTCATGAAAATGCAGAGCATTGGACTTTACAAGTTTACAGTGCAGCCTACACAAATAACTACTTTTTTTTTGGTAGAAGATTGAAGAGTTGTTCATGGCCTTGCTTCAGAGCAAATAATTTAAAACAAATGCCACAGGTCTCTTGGACACACATGTACAATTTACATGTCATGAAAATTGCTGCAATAAGACTAGAGATATATTTGTTAAAAGTCAGGAGTATGCTTTTTGTCATACACTGTGTACTATTGTGGTTAGCATTAAGGGGTACAGATAGTTCATGAAAAAATAACCTGTTCTCAACTGGCAGAAAAATATATCTATTAGCAGCAAAGGATTATTAAAGTGTCTTTGAATATTACAGCATGTCTAGGTACCTTCTTAAACTGAAAATAATATCATTCCTTTTTGAGTGCAATACCTTTCTTTACAAATGGAATACGCTCACACATGGTCCTCTCACAGCTGCCCGTTTGTGTGGCTTTTCCCTCAAATTTCAATGCCTAAGAACAATTTAGAAAATAATACCTATATTTTGGTAAATATAATCATATCAGTCCAAGACAAGTGAATTTATTTTGGCAATGGTACCAAAAACATTTTCTGGAAAATATGCAAATGAATCTGCAAAGTGGGTGTTTCATCAATATGAAATCTGAGAATCTCTCACTTAGAATTCTATCCTCTACAATAGCAAATGCAGCATTTATAACTTTTTTCATCCCATATATCTCTCAAGAAATGTATGGGATGAAAAAGTTATCTCCCTTTCAAGGCAGACCTAATGTTATCACAGAAGCATAAATAGCATCATAAAACACAAAGCCAAAAAGCACATTTGTGTGAACCTACTCAGGTGAAGAAATTAGATTTGTCCTGGAGGAATGTTTGTCCATCAACAACTTCTACATGTGCCATCAATATCAGAAGGTTACAGCTTTGGATAATGTCTGCCTTACCTAAATTAGTATGCAACTTTTTCTCTTTGAGCTTTCCATTCATTAGACAATGCACCTCCCTTAAGGACAACAGCGATGGAATGCAGTAGAATGAAAGATAAGTGTTTTCTCATGCATCCATGAACCTTACTGTTTGGAGCAGTATGAAGCATAAATAATGCAGTTCAATATAATCACCTTTGAATTGTGGAAGTCAGGTGGGATTTTTCATGAACTACCTCAACAGCCTTAACATTTTCTCACAGAAGTCTAAATGGCCCTTGGTGCTGTGGGTAATTATCAATAAACATCCTCAGGCAATCTACCTTTCTATGAGACTCATATGCAACACTCTTCAATTGTTCATAATTCCTAGATGATAACAGAATATTGATTCCTGCAGTCAAGTGGACTGAAGTTCTCAACATATGCCTATGACATGAGAACAAGGAGAATGTAACTCATTTTATCTGTAGCACCCATGGGAGCAGGAAGAACCAATTTTCATATAATGGGCTGTGGGGTGATGAAACATACCAACACAAGGCCCAAGAACTCAAAATACATCACAACCCCTTCTTACAAAGCCATTACTTCATCTTTATAGATAAAGATGCATCTGTCACGACAAGATGAGATTCACTGCCATTTTCAGGTGATACTACATGGTGGCACATTTACAAATTCATGCTGCAGCCTGTGATCCTGAGTATCACTCACAAAACAGAATATATAATTCTGAATGATAGATAATCCTCACTGCAGAAAACAAAAATAACTTTCTGGAAAACGTTAAGATTGAAGGAAACACAACTTACAATTGAAAACCCTATGCCAATAAGATGTGCTCACTGAGCAACACAGAAAAAATGACACCATTTGATTGAACTCAATAGACTTGATGGAAGAGAAAGAAATTTGACAACAGCAAACATCCACAAGGGAGGAGATTGCAGTACTAAGTAGGTGTCCAGAAAACATATTCACATGAAGGCTCGACTTCCACTACATGCATACATATATTTATCATAATACAATTTGCATTAATTTATGCAAGCAAGTAGTACCGTATTACATCACATTTTGCAGTATGCCATTGTAAAAGGAGGTTTACCAAAGTGCCTGTTCAACCCTAGGTGTACTTGCATCTAGAAAAATTAGGGTTTGCTTGCATATATGCCATGATAGCTCAGCAAACACCATCGTCTCCCTAGCAGAAAGATACTTGAAAAAAAAAAAAAAAATTACATGCTTTTCCACATCAAAATAATGAAATGAAAAACCTGCTACATTTTAAATTGATGCCATTTCTGCCCATGACAAATACACCCACTCCTTTATCTGGGATGGTTCTCCTGGTACACTTTATGCCTAGCTAATGGAAGGCATCAGAATAACTGTGCAGGGATGTATTTCTGTCTTTTGATTCACTTTTTAGTTTCTCTTCCTCACTTGCAACTCTTCATGATTAAACTTTAAGGCAGAAATCTCACATGAACAGAGCAACACACTCCAATGACTAACTTATAGTAAAACAGAATTTAAAAAACCTCATCTCATCATCCTCTCTTGCTAGCTCCTATGTAGGCAATGTGCTTGTTCACTTTTCCTTTCAATTATGGTTGGTGTGTCAGTTTATGATTTAGCATGCTGCAAAACAGTGTAATATGGCAGATTGAGTTAAATCGGTGCATAAAGTCCTCATAATCTGCTGTTGGACAATACGAGGCTCTGAATAGCAAAGCTATGACCTTGAATATGTTATAGGCACAATATGAAACTTAGTACTGGTACTTGCAGACGTTTCTACACATACAGTATATTGACTTTTGGACGACATGTCCATTGGTAGGTGAGGAATGGGATTTCACACATGCATGGCATTCTTATTCACATTTGAGGAGGAGGGGGGAAAACCAAGATGGACAAGAGGAGCAAAAGAAATTGGAAACAGTGATCCTGTGGAAACAAAAAAAGGCCTGCAAGAATATTGCAGTAGCAGGTAAAATCATTAATGGAATTCCTGCAGAAGGACCCCCTTCCATGTGCAGTAGGCTTGACCTGCACACCTAATACTGTCACCATGACAGCCTAAGTCTACAAGAATTCTAAATTAAGATTAGTTAATGATTTATTGATATAATAAAAAAGAGATGGGTTAGTTCAGGATTAGATCTATGAGAAGTTAAGGACAAGGAGCTCATTCAATTGTATCATACCTGTCTAAATAATTTTTTTTTTAGATTTCTCAAGTTTGCCTCAGAGTTAATACTGTTTTCTCTCACCATGTAAAACAATGCATAGAGAAGCCAAGAGTTTCACTATAGGAAATACCTTAAGAGACTTGCAAGATGAGAAAACCATAGGTGTATTCCTGGCTAAACCAATCTCTGCTCAACATATGGCAATCGGTTTCATGTTCACCTCTTGTGATGCACTGAGGAGAGCCTTTTACTTAAATGTTTCCTGCTGGATAAGGGTTTTACACAATGTGCCAATTAATAGATCAAAACCAATTCCAGATGAATACTAGTTTTGGTGTTAAAAAAAAAAAAGACTTCAGTAAGATTACAGAAATCTCTAAGATTCTTCTTCATGTTAAACCAGGATACATTTTCCAGTTAACAGGAGAGAAATGCTATGAGAATGTAACAGTTGAACTTTTTAGTTTCATGACTATTAAGTGCAAACAATTTTTGGTACAATGCTTGCATGGGAGAAAGAGGCCAGCTGTTATAATGACAATGTTTACTAGTATAAGGTGGTGATGAAATTTTGGCTCCATACTCTGAATACTTGTAGAGTAATTATTAATTATTTCCAATCACAATAAGATCAAGGCTAAGAGTAGGCTAAGTCTACGGTTTGACTGGCTCATGATGTGTAAGGAATTTAATGAATTTTGAACCCTTTCTCATGAAGATAATTGGTGTATTATTTTTATTTCACCTATTGCAATGTGCAAGCAAACTTTTTTTTTACTACTCACACTTCAGATGGAGGGTTGCAAACCATCTGCCTGGTATGAATTGTAGCAGTGGTGGTGACATAAAAGACAATTAACAAGTTGATCCATACATAATTAATTACCCTCTCTTCCCTCAATTTTAATGGATCAACCATCAGCATCTCTGAAATATGAGCTATTTAGGGTTGGGTCTACAACCAATACTCCAAAAAATGAAAGTGCAATGAGAAATACATCTTGGCCATTAGAATACACTGAGCCTAGAATGCTATCAGCCTCATGCTGCTGCAGAGAGCCTTAAAAAAAACTCACCTTTCTCGATACCACCTCCATGGAGTATCTTATGACCAGAAGGAAAAAGTAGCTTAACCATTTCTAAACAAAACTATTATGTACTGGTGCAGATAGGAGAAGCTAGCTTATCAATTAAAAATACATTAGGGCCACCACCTCTGGTTCTAATAATAAGTCATCTGGTGGTAAACTATTATAAATGGTATAAATAATTTTTCAAGAGGCTCAAAACAGTGCTTAAAACTTCCTGATGAATCAGGATCAGAAACAGAGAAGTTAACAAAGTGTCAGAGAGCTGCAAATTAAAATAGTTTACCACTAGATGACTGATACCATATTAAGTTAATCACATCACCTGTTCCCGGGAAAAAAGGTGTAAGAGACCTCCAGTGGTCCTCTCTCAGCTGTGAGGAAAGAAAGCTCACAATTCTTTTCCCAAGAGAAATGTCACAATTTGAAAGAAAAAAAAAGGATACAGGAAAGGGGAAAGCTCACCACTTCAGTGTCGAGAGCTCCGGTGTGAGGATTCCTCACGACGATCCCGCTCACGCTCTCTCTCCCGCTCAGGAGGAGGTGGGGCAACTCTTGGTTCTCGCTCTCGCTCTCTTTCTCTCTCCCGCACTTCACGCTCTCTTTCTCGCATATCCCGCATCTCACGGTCTCTGTCTCTCTCCCGTTCACGATAACGATCATCATAGTATCTATTGGGAGGGCATATTTTGGTCAAATCTACTGAACATAGCAAGATCAGACATGAATTATGACATATTCCATATAGTGGAAAGCTGAGTTTATGGCCAAGTGTGTCTGGCTTCTGGGACCTTGAAACTTAAGAGGGTATAAGCATCAACCCATGTAGCAGCAGACACTGCAGTATTATTCAACTAGAAGGGGAGATCGGAAACTCCGATTAATTTTAATCAAGGAAGACACAATTTTTTTTCTTCATTTTCTCTCGAAAGCTTGTTTACTCAGCATTTCTCTACATAGTCACCACCAATTTGAATGCATTTCCTGGGGCAGTGCTGCCATTTATGGAAGCACTCCACAAAATATTTTTTGAGCTTTCCCAGCTCATTGTTGACAGCTTCAATGACATCATTTTGGGTGTCAAACACTCTTCCACGCAAGGGCTCCTTGATTTTGGAGAGAAGTCAAAAGTCGCATGAGGCTAAACCTGGTGGGTAGGGTGGAGCTTCAATGAGGTTGATCCCTGAGGTGCCAATGAAGAGGAGTGTATTGGTGATTTCGTGAGCAGAGGTGTTGTTGTGATGGAGAAAAAATCCTGAAGCTATGCTTTGGAACGTCCTCTGCCGAGTTTTGAAGACTTTGGTCAAGCAACTCTCAGGAGAGTTGCTTGACAGAAATCTTTTTTAAAAAAGACAAAATCAAGGAGCCCTTGTGTGGAAGAGTGTTTGACACCCGAAATTATGTCATTGAAGATGGGAAAGCTCAAAAAAGAAGATTTTGTAGAGTGCTTCCAAAAATGGCTGCACTGCCTCAGGAAATGCATTCAAATTGGTGGTGACTATGTGGCGAAATATTGAATAAACAAGCTTTCAAGAGAAAATGAAGAAAAAAAATTACGTGTCTTCTTGATTAAAATTAATCGGACTTTCTGAGCTTCCCTCGTATTAGACTTGCTTATTCAGAATCTGCCCAGCATCAGGGTTATACATGTGCCACTCTGAGTGCACTGTCTACCAGTTATGGGTGTCATGTACCTTGAAATAATCCATGCCAGTCAACCCATGAGCAAATTCTTGTGAATCTCCAACAGGACCAAAGGCATCTCAGAAGAAAGGTTATGTTCAGAAAATCAGTCACCTCATGACTGATAAACATTAGGTGTTGCATATGAGCTAGATGTCTGGTATTTTTGGACACTCTCAATGTGATGCACCAAGATAATAGTGCTATTTTTTTCCTATGTGAAGATCAAATGAAGTAGTATAACAATTTTAAGTGAAAATATCAGTAATGCAGCTTTGTTCAACATAAAGGTAAATTTACTCACTCTCAAACTCAAACCCTGAAACCAATGACTTACAAATGGACTGCATCTGAATTTATGATAGTTGGTCACTTTCTTACAGCAGTCCTGTAAAACATGAAAAACAGGTTCAGGTTTGGGAACTGATGCTTTCAACACCCTACAATGCACTAAAGTTATGCTGCAATCTGAATTGCTAATGAAGGCTTCCTAGGCAGGAAACGGGAGAAATGAAGTCATAATTAAAATGAATCTCTGTTTACCACTAACAAAATAGTGCTGAACACTCTACTGGTAATACGTAGGTATGTTTGGCATATTTTTTCTTTTATTAAATAGAAGACTGGAGGATGTTAAACTTACCGATCACGTTCACGAGATCTTTCTCGACTCCTACTCCTTTCATGAAAGTCCCTCTCATAGCGTTCCCTGGAGCGCTCACGATAGTCCCGAGGGGATCGGGATCTCTCATGTCGTCTTCGGCGTCTCTCTCGCTCCCGGGAGCGTGATCGGTCTGCAGAAATTAATATTATGTTGCTATCATGATCAAATTCAGAGTAACTGACTCATGAAAGTGGAAGACACACCTCTTGATCTGCGACTAGATCCATAACTCTTGGCTTCAATCCCATGCAGGGTGTCTTGAAGAGAACTGATGACTATCTTACAGCGGTCATCATGTGCTACTTTTGACTGCTTGATCAATGAAATTGCAGTCACCAGGGTTTCAATGGCACTGGCAAATTCTCCTGCAATCAATAGATAAAGTATCTGTATTTGATTCAAAAGCCTACTTGTATAAGTGTCCTCAAAAACCATTTTTCCCATCATGTAGCAATGCATCACTAAATCATATATGGTATATTGGGTTCAATGAAGATGATCAACAATAACTGAAGAACGTACCTGCTGCTGCATCAGCCACAGCTCTCGCAATGGCAGAACTGCTCACAGTTCGATTTCGATTCATAATTTCTTCAAACTCTGCCTCACTCATTGATGGACCTGAATCTCTCCTCTCGTAACTTGACTGAAAGAATGATTGGACAAGGACTTTTTGTTATCAGGACACCAAAGCCAAACAAATTGCATGGTAGCCTACAGTTCACATCAACTGAGTTGTCCATCTTTGAGGAGTCAGTACAAGAACAACAAGGGTTAATTCAAGGTATAAGCATGATAGCCTGCAAGGCATAAAATGCATGCACTTTCCAGGTCTATTCATTAACACAACTTCAGGACCAAGGATCATACCAAGCCCTCTTAAGGGTAACATGCTGTCCATCCCTGTCATACAAGACTTCAAAATATTAAAAACATTGAGGACTGCCAACATAGATTTATGTTGTGGGAGAACTTTCACGTGTTCCTGGTCCCATAAATCAAAATGGATTCTGTGCACATTCCTGAGCATTTTGGTGTTTGAAACATGTAAGTTCAGTAAATTGTGAGTTCTGAAATTTTATTGTAGAATAAAGATTTTTTCCTAAAAATTGCCAATCCCAAGCAGTTGAACAAGTGTCAGGTCCTCAATGTGTTAATGGAACTGGAAAAAAATGAAACATGATTGAACTCACCTGTGCAATTGGAGGGAATCCAGGTGGAGGTAGAGATGTGGAGGGGAAAAAAGCTGGGTTCACATGAGGAGCAGGAGGTAAAGTAGGAGGAGGGCCTGGCATCAGAGGTGGAGCAGCACTCACTGGCAAAAAAGATAAAGGATGAAAATACTGTTTTTTTGGCTATGCTTCCTTGCTCCCACTTTTGTCCTCAGCAAATTCTGATTCTGTAATCCCTGAAGCATCATTTGAATCTAACAGAGTCCTAATCACTGCCACTTCCACCTGACAAATCTTAAAACTGTGGCATTTTCCCCAATCAGAACTATAATGCTACAAAATTTTTTCCACCTAACAATAAGCCCACTTCTAACTTTTTGCACCATATTATTATTGTCCATAAAATGCTGCCACCACATAGCAGTGAGACCTACAGTTCTCTAATGTCTACAGATGGTAGTACCACTCAGAACAAATGCAACAAGCATCTTCCCTGCATTGAATTAAATTAAACCACCTCAATCTTGCTATTCCCTAGTGCAAACAAGCTGACCTCAGGTAGCCACTGAAAGAGTTCAAAATTTTTTCTAAATGATTCATAATGTTTCTGATTCTACGTGAACTTCACAAGACCTCTTATCTTTACAGACTAGTAAGAGCAATATATATTATATATATTATAAATTAAGTCTGAAATCCATTGAAAACATATTTTTATTATTAATTTACGATTTTCTCTTTATAATAAGACTGAATAACATAATACCACTAAGAATGAGTTACAGGACAAAAAAGGAATATGCACCATCAGTTTAATGATATTCTGAAAAAAATTATTTGCTTGTCAAACAAGGTGTTGAATCTTGTTCTGAAGATCTAAACCCTTTTGCTTTTAAAGTATTACAAGTTGTGAAGGTCAATTACCTTCTCATCAATCTGATTATTGACATAATGTTGCAGAATAACATTGAGTAACATTGCCAGAAGATGAGTAAATTCCATGCAGGTAGGGGTATGTGTCATGCACTAATGTAGATATTTGGAACTTCAGGCTTAGTGACATGCCTTGAGGGTATAAAATGAACTCTCATCATATGGGGCTCTTTGAACACATAGGAAGCATTCTTTGCTAGAATTTCTTAATTTTTAGCCCCATTCTGAAAACCATATCCCCCATTTCTGAAAAACCAGCCATGGGGCCAGTCCATATCCATCAGTAATATCTAGATGAATTCTAAAACTGATAAATAATTCCCCCATCTGGCAGATTTATTCAATTTGTGTTCTCTCATGTTTCTGTGGGATAAAGATAAATGATGCACATACAGTCAACTCTTGTTAATTTGAACAGTAGGGGACTGGTGATTTTGTCCAGATTATCAAGTACCTGCCCAAGTGACCATTCATTTTTTTTTCCTGGAGAATAAAACTGCAGCTAATATGTGCAAAGAAAGCCTTCATTGTTTACATGGGAATAGGGAAACTTGGACTCTGTTCTTTCGATCTGTCACATAGAAGAAATTTCACATTTTATTTTGCCTGACTCATGCATGCTCAAAGCATGTGCTTCACATTCGTTTCCATGAGAGGGACACCAGCTAGGACAACACCCTATTCAAGTCCATCACAACACTTCTATATATTCTATATCCAACACTGTCAATGTTGATTGATTATTCAAATCACATGTGACCAAACTTATCTTTCAATTAAGGCTTAGTCCACACCAGAAACTTTTCTAGCATATATGATTTAAGAATGTTGCAAACTAAGATTTTTGAAAGAAACATTTGAAGGAATCCCCCAGAGCATTGAAAATCTGGCATAGAAAACTTTCTGGCATGGATGAGGCCTAAGTCAGATAACTTCAAAACCTCCAATTCCACCTCCCGTTTGGGTCACTCCAGAAACACTTACTCACAATGGGAGATAAGAAACTTCTCATGCCTCTAATGGCAAGAACAAATTAGACTGAGAGAGGATGGGTGACATGACAATGAAGTGTGAAAGTCTCAATGAAGAGAGCACTCCTCATAACTCGATTCCAAGAAATTGGGGAGACCAAAAATTTTCTCTTTTTATTTATTCATTTTAAATACAAGCGTGAGGAAAAGTTAAGACGTGGGAAAATTACTGGGAAATCTATTATTTTCTGTTCTATCATCTGTATTTTGCTGGAAAGTTCATATTAACAGGGGAGAATGGCTTAGAGGATGAGAAAACTCTTCCAGATAAACAAAAAATATGAAATAATGTCCAGATTAAAAGGAGAAAGGTTATTATTGGTTCTATGGTACTTCTGACAGGAACACTCATGTCTGAATTAACAAAAGATCCGGATTACTGATGTTCAGATTAATTAGAGTTGACTGTACATGCATTGGTTACATGCATTGGTTTCAAGTCATTTAAAAACTCAATATTTCCACCATAGACTACTTTCAAATAGTTCAAGCCACAAAAAAAATGTCTCAGCAAATGTAAGGTCTGGATTTTTGAAATGCTAAATCATGTTCTTTTGACTTCCTTTATTGATATGATTGCAAATGCAGTACCATGTATCCTCACAAATCCATATGCAAATCCTACTGAGCATATAACCCCAAAGATGCTCTTGTGGCATGTTTCAGTGTCTTGAACTTCCACTGGAGTATATTTCACCATTTTCAGCAGTGACATGGATGACAAAGAAAATTCAGTAGGTGAGTGATACAGAAGAATGCATATATCCATCACCTCCCACAGTTCCTTTCCATGAAGTGTCTCTCTCCTGAATATTATCTTGATGTTTGGCAGTAAATAGATCAATGAGAATTTGCAGACCCATGATTCATTGCTTTTTAGATGTCAACCCACTTGAGATGGGATATGCAGACCAACTCACTTCAAATGATGTTTTCCTTCAGTCTTTCCACAAGGAATGAGAATTCTAGCTTGATTCAACAACATAAGCATATTTAGAAAATGTTCAGGGCATGTTTATGAGGATATTTAAAACTTAATAATTTTTAAACATGAAAATCTATTATTAGCTTCATCTGCAACAAGTTCTACTACAAAGGAATAGTTAGAATAGATAAGTTAAGGAATGTGTGGTAATACAGGAGAGAACAGAAAAAAGAAATGAAGAAGTGAAGTGAGTGATTTACATGCAAGGTCAAGGAGGGGAAGATGAAGAGTGGGAACATAGGAGGCATTGCAGGTACCTGGAAGCCTTGCTCCCATGGGAGGCGGCACAGACATATCTGGAAAAGTTAGGAACATGCACAGCATTTCCTGTACTTCCTCCTTGTTCATGTCATTCGTCATGCTTTACAGGAGACTCTCCAGAATGGAAGAGGTTCATTTTTCAAATGAATTGGATAGAAAGAAAAGTTGAACATTTATTATGGGACAAAGTAAAATTAAATTTTTCTCAGCAGTCATGACTAGATTGCTCACAAAGTTATCACATATTATCATCTTATTTTCTCATTTATAAATGAGCTTTCCTTGCTAAAATGCAATATTTGAAATTCTGACTCTCTTAGCCACATTAGTACAATGGACAAGTCTAATATTTGAGTTATCTTCCCACTGCATCATCAGAGATAACAAGCTTGCACTTGTATACAAGGAATATAAAATTGCTCATAAAGGAAAAGAGATGGGGCATTACAGAGAAAATCAACTTTTGAGTATAAATGTACCTACTAATGAATCTCCAAGAAATTTCCCAGATATGTAGAAACTAAACTAAATTGGGGGCATAATTACCTGTCCTGAGGAAGGATGGTTAAGAAAGGTTTGATGGAGAAGAGAAAATAAAAACACTTTTATATTCCATTGTGGATAAGGAGATAATGCCATGGCTTGATCATGGTTCCACCAATGCCTTAAACTATTGCAAATTGCCTCTTATTTAAAAATAAGAGGCAATTTGCAATAGGCTATAAGTTTTGCTATTTGGCAATTGGCTATAAGTTTTGCTGCATCTACATGAACAATGTAAAAGAAATATGCATACACTCCTCATTTGCTTGTTTTTGCAAGGAAATTGTCTTTTTTATGTATATTTTATTGAGTTTTGCCTAGCCAGCAAAGGCCTTAATTAAGTCCATAGTAGACTTTGTTCTGAGCAAAGTCATGTAAAGCCCAGCAAAGTTTCTCATAGTTTCTTATGACCATGTTAACCTTTTCGTGCATGGTGTCCACTGTAGTGGACAGCAAAAATGTTGCAGATAATGATGGGTTTGTAGCCATGATACACATACCATGAAACTTTGGGGGCATGCAGTCAACTCAAGGGCACATAATCTCTTCAGTGTTGCTTTTTAGCAATGGAACATTCAACTATGGCAGAGTCCCTCCTTAAACATTAAACCAAAAAATACATTTTTGTTTTGCTTTAAAAATTCATGCATGAAAGGGTTAATCCCTTTGAGTAGAACAGTTGCATCAGGTTTCACTCAGTTCTCACAAGTGAATTTAAATTAAAATATTCTGAAAAAGCCCTGAACCAAAATAAAGCAATGCTCAAGAACTTAATATTGCATGCATTGTGAGAACAATGGCATTCAGTTTATGATGCTGATCCTTCATTTGGATTGCATGTTGTGATAGCCAATCAACTTTATCTGATTATTTCAGTAGGGCTGATTAAACAGCCCATATGAAAATCAAATTAAAATTTGTGCTCAATTAGCAGTCATATACAATCATTCTATAAAAATAAGATAAAATATGATACACCCCTGGATAAAGTTCCTATCACAAAATCCACATCTGAATGGACTGATGATGGACAAAATTAAATCCTGACTGAAAAACCTAGAATGTCATAAAAAAAAAATAAAACAACTTTCATTCTTTCCTTTTTCAGAAAGCCAAGCCCTTGCTTTTTCCCCCCACTTATTTTGAGAATTCACTTTTATTTGGGGCACCTGGAATGGAATGTCACTGGTACTCTAATGTTGAAATCTAATGGTGAACTGGGACTGAAATGATATACTTGTCTTTTCTAAGCCCTAATAATCATCAAAATCACCATTCACCAACAAGATGTTATATGCAGAGAAATCTATTTTTCTATCAGAGAGAAAAATTGATAGACAGTACCAAGCCTAGAATACAGGAAAAAAGTCAAAACTTACTGGCAGCTCGGGCCCAATCAGCAGTTCGAGGTGGTGGGGCTCGGGTATCTGCTGGAGGAAGAAGCCCAGGCAAAGGCAGAGGTGGTGGCACACCCTGGTCCCAAAAAAGAAGCAGTTATATAATCACATCCTACTTTGAGACAAGGAAACATCAAATTGTACATGGCTGGTGATATCAGCATCAGATGAGGCTAGAGCAACACATATCTTGATCCTAAATTTCAAATCCTCCATAACTGAGGATAAAATCTAACATGGATTTCTCTACTAAACTGGATAGAATACATGATTTTCATCACAGAAAACAGCTGAAGCACACTAACTGAATTTGTGGAGCTGACTGAGCCGAGTTTATATATGCACCCTATGTTGACTAAAAAGCAGCTGACTCAGAAAGCTAAATTTCTGGTCATATGTAATGCAAATACTCATATGGAAGAATTCTACAAAGCAAAGCAACTAACATAAGGTCTGAAGAGAAATTTCAACTCACCACATTAGGAGGTGGCCTGCTAGTGTGTAGAGGTGGAGGAGCTGAAACAGATGGAGGAGGAATTGTGCGTGGGGGAGGGATTGCTCCAAGCAGAGATGGAGGGGGAGCAGCAGCTGTAACACAAAGCATCACAACTCTTCCAGCATCTCCTCTGAGCAAATCTTGTGACAAATAAAGGCTTCAACATATAAGAAACTCCTCACAGATCTTTTTGATTCTCAAATCACGAAAACTATATTCTCCCCAAAAATGACCATCAGACCTCAACTGCACTTCAAATTCAAGTCTTTAGAAGAACAGTGCTGCACTCCTTAAACCCTTAAGAATATTTTGTATTAAGTCAAATGTTACAAGAAATTCATGGGCATTCTGTTGTTCATTCAATAGGAGATATCCTATAAATACAACAATGCATGGGGACAATACCCATGATTTACAAAGGTGTTGGTGAAGGCATGAATAGAGAAGTAAATACATCCACCACAACTCAGAAAGTTCATGCTTGACATTAATGGCCACTATTACAATACATGCTGCCTGTTCTTTCTTTACCTTACCAAAACTTGAACTATAGTAAATTGAAAACTTACTAGGTGGAAATGGCAGGGGAGGGGCAGAGACAGTTGGCCTGCCAGAGGGTGGTGGAGCCCCAGGGGGTGGAGGACGGAGTGGTGGTCCAAGGGGTGGAGGAGCAACTGGGGGTGGTGGGATGCGGGGATGTGGTGGAACCCTAGGGGATCCCATCAAGGACCGTGGAGCTCCAGACATTAGAGGTGGTCCTCCCATGCGAGGAATTCCTGGACCCTGCATTTGTGGCAATGGTCGAGCTCTGCTCTGTGCTTCAAACTGCAGCATAAGAGCACAGTATTAATTAAGGATGTTACCAATAAATACTTATTTTTACCGATGCTTAAACAAATATGTATGATATTCATTAAGAGAAATCCAGTACTGATAAATAAATAATGGCGATAAGCAAAAATGATGATTGACAAGTACCAATAGCAATGACTTTATAGCTACTACAATTTGATACTTATTTGAAAATAACTAAAATGTTCTTAGTACATAATCATTCAAATTCCTCCAAAATTATCTTCACTTCCCTTCACATTATCAGAGGATCATATAATAGCAAATGAAGACAAAGATTATGGCTTTAGCATAGGCCATGTTCCAGGCTAGTAAGTCTGCAAATGATAGCATGTTGGCCAACATAGAACAGAATCAGCAGTAGAACTTTGCATCTGTGCATTTTCTGTCACTATTGTCTAACTTTACACCAGATTAAGCGAAGTACTATGTATGACCAGTTAATTCAGCAAAAATTAAGCAGTTTAAAGTAGACAAATGTGAAATTTTCTTTCTAATTGAATGACCCTGTGATCTGCATAAACTTGAGTTGCTGAAACTAATTTTTTTTAATCTTCATATATCCTGGGTGAATTGTTGCTTTCCCTCATACATGCCCCACATGGGGGAAAAGAAACATTTTAAGGTCTCTAATTATGGTCCAGGAGAGAGTCACTCCTCAGAAGTTTCAAAATTGCCTACTTTTTCGAGCACAGCCTCTAACTACAAGTGAGAAGGAAAAAAACTAGGCCTACAACATATAAGATAGAAACCCAAGAAAAGGAGCAGAATCGATATAGGGTGAAGGCAACGAAAGAATAACGAAAGTGCAATACGCACGCGACTCGCACGAACGCCAAAATGCTAGCGATATAAAATTGAAGATCGTTCGAGGAGCGGAGACGTTCCGACGACAGCAACGGAAGGGAGGAGTTTCGATCGATTCGCTAGGAGTATAGGGAGGGAGCAGTGAATCAGTAAATAGTGAGCAGTGAATAGGGAAGCGGTAATCGCGGCGACGGAGAAGGTCGTTCAGCGCAGTACCTGGATCTTACGGCGGACCAACACATGCGAGTATACTCGCGTGAAAGTTCCTTGCAAGGGAGATTCTTTCCAAAGACAACCTGTGCCCGTGAGCGAAGTTCCAAGAAATAAGAGTTCTCCATTTACATACGAGTATTGTACGTGCGAGACAGTACTTCCAGGTAGAGGTAGAGATCTGCCAGGTGTCTAATCAACCCGATCTGGCATTTGGATCGAACCAGTACACGTCCCGCTGGGGCGCTCCCTGCACACACGCTTCACTCTGGGCTAGTCCATTACCGCAAGCAAAAAAAATCTATAATGCATGACTCTGAGCATGTTCCCCGTCCGAAGGGATCTCTTCTATTTCCGCTTCCCATCGACCAGACTGCAAAATTAGTTTTCGGAATCTCGTCCGCGGGACAAGAACGGGTCGATGGGATATTGCCAGGAGCACAGCAATGTTACACCTCGTCAAATTTTGTTCGCGATCCCGTACACTCCTATCGATGAAAGAATATGCTTGAAAGAAGGAATCGTTCGTAGGTTGCCTCGTTTCGTCTGGGGTATCCGTTCGTGCCTATTTCCTACCTTTGCAAGGTTCTGCCAAAAAAAAATTAAATAACGATATGGTGCTTGTGTATATCGCTCGGCGGTATATCCTCAGCCGCGCAGAACTAGCGCCATCCCCCATTAAATTCCTGGATGAATAAAAAAAAAAGGTCTACTTCATTTTTCAGGCCTATATCCGTCAAATGACGTCCCACGGCCGTAGCGCATTCAAATTGTCATGCTAGAAAGTGTTAACCCAGATAAGCCTGGCGTTCTATATGTAGGACGGCGTTCAGACATGCGTCTCCATATTGAACATGCATCCTCAATATAGGACACCAGGCATATCTAGGTTTACATCCCATTCTCCTTCCAAATATGATTTCCAGCCCAAATACTTTAGTTCAAAAGGGCACTTTGGACACTGATTCATTGGTAGACTCAATCATTGGGCCACCAAAACTTTTTTTTTACCAACCTGATATGGATAACGTTGTTTCAGTGACAATGATATATACAATAGGCTTACAAGCAAAATATGTGGAGGGCATCTGGACATAAAACAAAATGGTATCAGTAACAGAGTAGTTAATACTACTACCTTATTATTAAAGAGTAAAGAGATTCATCACCTGGCTTAATGCCTGCTTATTGTATGGAGTGACAACAGGTTCCATGCCATGCAACTCCTTCTTGGGCAGGCGCTCCATTATGAGCCTCACACTTTGTTCGGAGGCAACAGCAACGACACAGAATCCTTTAGACTGGCCGTTGGCTCGATTCTCATAAAACTTAACTTCAACAAAATCGTTCACACCAACTCCTCGAACTGCATCTTCTATGTCCTGGTCAGTAGTCCACTAGAGGAAAAACAACATCCATGAATGTGCTTAGGAAATAAATCATGAATTCAGACTGTATTTGGCTGTAAAGCTGAATTTGCCATGTATATCAAATAACAGTAGAATGAACATTCTGTCTCACCCAAGTGAGGTTTCCTATGCAAACTTGCAAACGTCGACCCTGATACCCTGGGTGATAAATCGTGTCAACATCTCGTGTGCGGTTAGGGGATGGTCCGTTACTGGTAGACTTCCCTATGTCCTCTGTCTTAATACTTGAAGGAGCAGCAATGACATCATCATACAAGTCTACTGCATCTCCACCACTACCACCTTCATCCTGAAAAACAAAAAAAAAGGCAGATTAGACTGCTGAGAGAATTTTTCATGACATGGTGAGCCATATGCCTTCCTAGTCAAGTGCAAAGGAAATGAAGAGAAGAGCCTACAGCATTTCCAGATTGACTTTTACCATATACACTTGCTGTGACTATCTATAGGCTCTACTGTTGAGTTGTGCAGTAGCAGTTCCTTTGCTCAGGGAGGGATGTCATTCTATTAACTTCACTCATTGGAATGCCTCTTTGCAATTACAGATGAATTACTAAGTGTCTCTCTGGCACTGGTGACTAGAGTGCCAAGGGAGAGGGGTATAGATGGGTAGAAATCAATCCAGAAACACTATGTTCATGTAGCATAAGTCATTGGACCTGTTGAATTTAAGTTATGATAATATGTTGATTGGTTCAGACTTTAAAAGTAAAATAGCAAATATGCACCTTACTCCAACTATAAGACCTAGAGGACTTAAGTTACACCTGCTGTGTTATTATTATGATTCTTAGGCTATGAAAATGATGGTGCCATAGGTGCTACTTGTGTCACCTAGGGAAGGAGTGAGTCAGGGGTGCAGATTGCTTGCTGTAAGACATCCCTATTACCAATCTATTGATCATGCTTCTTCTTCAAAATGTTTACAATGCCCAATATAACAGCCTGTCCAACCTTTGAGACAGATGAAGCTCCCATGCTACCTATGTGATAGGCATCAGATCAGGTGACTGCATGGAAGCCATATGGTGGTTTACTCAGCTTCTTCTGCTATGAGGCACATATGTACAATGGGTGCAAGAGATGGGATGATACTTCCTTACCTTTCATGAGGAAACAAGGGTCCCATAAAAATGCTTTGCTAAGTCAATCCACTGCACTTGGCAGAAGCTGGACTTGTGCCAGCTCATAGGCACATCTAGAAACTGGGAGCAGGGCTAAAAATTGCCTTGCTGATTGGCTCAGATACAGCACCTTGGGAATGATTCAGGTTACCTCATCATCCTTATTTCTCAATCAGGCAGAGCCTATGGAGTCATCCATGGGTGAAGTTGCTCACTGAGTGTGCCAATAGAAAGACCCACCAAAAGAGAGAGAGAGAGAGAGACCTGGCAATGCAACCTATGTTTCTAGAGTAATTTTATAGCTTTCCATGCTGTAATACTTTAGAATACTGTAATACTACTTTTGATCACCTTTCAGGATTTAAAATGGCTTTCTTGTTCAAGGAACAGTCAATCCAAAACTGCAGTGCCAAGAGGGGCTATTGAATGAGCTTAAAGAGGTGGGATACTTATGGCCTAATGTTAGGCCAATATGAATTGGTCTACCAAATTTTTGCAACGAGTTCAAACACACTCATAAGGGTACCAATACAACCAGTGTTTTAACTCTAACACATCTTACAAATACCAATTCATATCAAATTGGAAGAACCCTTCCTTCCACTGGCACTGACAGGCCCACAGAAACAGTTTGCCCTAAATGAGTTCAACTCATTGCAAAAACACTATTACCAAAGCTTATGTCAATGCCTACTCATGATTACAAGAGGCTTAACCAAGGGGCATGTTCAGCTAGTGTTATATTACAATACTTCTGAAAAACCCCATTAGGCCCAAGCTAAGCCTATAGAGCTAACGTTAAAATAGAAGAAACATAAAATACCTAACATAGGGCATATTCACAAGTGATAACTTCAAGCTACTGTCAGTTTCAAACTAATTGGCACAACATTCCTAAGTCAGTATTGAACGGTAGTCGGACTATGAGCTTAAGCCTACATTAGAAACCGTTGGTGATAAAATAGGTTCTGCACCTTGATAAAATCGTCGCCTATATCATCCGAGTATAAATCAATGTCCACGGAGGGTTCGTCAATAGCCGTGGCCGATGCCATCCTCTTCTTCCCCGATCTTCCTCCTCCCTTGCACGAAATTCGTAAAGTCACGGCGGATATCCAGAGACCCAAGCCAAGACACGTGTGAATCGAACCGGAACGACCCGAGAACAGCCAAGATCCCAACGTGATGGACGACGAGTGACGCCCGCCTCGATCCCGACATCTATCCCCTAGAGGGAAGACTTTACTTCTCGATTTCTTCCATAGATGACTGTACCAGGTCTTCGTCAATCCGTCCATCGATAGATCATGCACAAAACTTTCGCGCTATTGTAGAGTGTTGTTGAGTTGGTTTTGGTAGAGTGTTTGACGGTAATGTGACGACGTGATCGAGGGCTGTTGGACAGACCTACCCCGTTTGACCGTGGAGGGCACACGAACCGGGTGGAAGTGGCTGGGCCAGCGGCGTTTCGCCATTCGTCGATGCAGTGACGTAGGGAAGGGGGGGGGGGGGGGGGGGGGGGGGGGGGGGCCCTC